CTGACAGTCCAGCAGTTAATGACCTTCCCTGCCCTTGTCTATAGCACCGGGGAGCCCCTTTGTGAGGCCAAAGGGGCAACTCAGGAAGTCACACCGGCTGCCTTTGAGCGAGTCCCCTGAGCTGTCTCTGAGTTTGTTCCACCTAGCCACCACTGGAGTTTTCAGGGCATATCCTCCAGCTTTGTAAATAGCTGTTAAAAAAAATAAAAATAAATCCAGTATTTTGTCAACCTTTACAAAAACTGAGCTTACAAAATGCCTCTCACAGAGAGGTCTCAGAAAATTGTACAATAAACAATATATTGAAAAAATAGTCGACGGCCCGGAGAGTTTGAAGGCAAGAGAACGTGTTTTTGTTTCTGTAAAGAGAAATGCTAACATGAGGGCCCGGCAGCCGGTGCGTGGGGACCTCAGAGGAAACCCCGTGGGCATAGCCACCTGGCCACAGTGGGCAGGAGGTGCCACTTCTGCCCTGGAAGCTGGCGCCATTCGAGCATCAGGAAACCCTGATACGGAAGCAAAGAGGGAACTGAGAGGAACTTCTGGGAAGGAGAGGAAAGGTTAGTGATGGAACAGGAGGGGCTAAGGCAGCTCCAGCTCTTCCCACAGAAGCCTCTGTAGTGAGGGGCCTCCTTTGCAGGGAGCAGGGGGTGCTCTGAAGAACCTACCGCTGGGCCTGGGGCTCTGGGGCTTGGATTTTCTGATGGCTGGTGTGGGGAGCTACAGGGTTTTGTCGTCTCGCTGGCTCCCGAGTTTAGGGGGACAGCCCGTGTTCCCTCCACTGTTCGTGGCCTCGAGTCACCGACAGCACCGAGAACAGAGGTGCCGCCCGTGAGGGCTGGGCAGAGACCACGCTGCTGGCAGGAGGCTTGGGACACTGCGGGCGTTTTGCACACAGTGCAGGGGTGCATCGTTAGTCCGTCTTATTTTTACGTTCCCATTTTGACATTGTCCTTCAGTTTCTCTTCCACGCTCCCCGTTAAGCTGTTAAATCACTCCATTTATTTAGTGCGAGTGTTTCTGAGAGCTCATTTTTATCTTGGTGAAAACCAGGCTTGCTCATGGGCACATAATGAAATTGCATAAATATACCCTTAGCTTGGAATCTAATTTATTTTTCCTGTTCATTATGGGGTAGAAGGCCATTATGAAATGTATAACCCTTTTTTTTTTTTCCCCCAGCGCTGGAATTGAAAGGCTGGGTTTTGGGCTCTTTTTATTCTGATGATTTCGTCCTGATTCAATTTAAAGCTGGTTAGAGCTCAAACACGGGAGCGTAATTGACAAAGATCAGTGTGGGCTGCAATGTTAATGTCTTGTCTGTGGCTTCCGAGACGCGGAACTCGACACGCAGGTTAAGCAGTGATTCCAGCAGAGGACACCTGGGCCTGCACAGCCGCTCTGGCTGCGGGCAAGGTTGGGGGCTCCAAAGTGGAGTCCAGGTGGCACATGGGGGAATAGGAGGACTGGGGACACGACTGACCCTCAGCGCAGAAAGGCTCAGGAACTCTTCAGGAGCACCCGCTAGCCTCTGCTTGCACAGGCGACGCACGGAAATCAAGGACGCCCAGCTGCCTGCACCTTGACTGACGCCGCCCTGACTCCAGCCTCCCGGCCTCAGCTCTGGGTCTTCTTATGGGGACAGCAAGTGAATAACCTGGAGCAAGTTCCAGACACAGCCCGCCTTTGGGAGCAGTGGCTCAGGCCACTCTGTGTGATGCTCGGTGCAGAGTGTGCTCTGCCCTGGGACAGAGGAGGGCAGAGGGAGCACCGGGCGTCTCGAGGAGGTGGCCAGATGCCGCTCACGGCTAAGAAGTGGGATGACCCTGCACACCAAACGGGTCGGAAGCTGGATGCCACACGCCTTAGAGGGGGCGCCGTCCTCCCTCCGTGGAGCACCCGGTCCTCTGTTAATTGGTCTCCTGGAGTTTGCTGACTGCCTTCCACACACTTGTCACTGCCAGGCTGGGCCACGGAATCTAGGAGCTTACGAGCAGGGCAAGTGTGATGTGACATCCCAACTCTCAGCGAGGAGCCAAGTCAAAGGATGTCCTCTTGGAGCGTGAGGAGTGACGTTCAACACACGTACATGTGCGCACGTGTGCAATCACTGGGAGAAAAAAATGTTATCAGGGATATGGCGGGTTCTCCTTGGGAATGAGTTGAGCAGATGAGTGTGGAGGAGATTCGCGAGGTTGTCCATTTCTTTCCCCTCCCCTGTGATGAGGGCAGATAAAACCCAGGACGCCCAGTTAATTTTAATTTCAGATGAACACCAAATAATTTTTTGTGTACGTATGTGCCAGATATCACGTGGGACATGCTTGCATTAAAAAAAAACCAAACCTGTGTGTATCTGCAATTCAGACTTAGCTGGGCATCCTGTGTTTTGTTTGTTAAGTCAGGGAGCCCTACCTGTAACAGCACGGGTGGTGGAAGGCTTTATTTCGACGTCATTTCCTTAGTCATTTAAAAAATTTAGGCGCATGAATTATAAAAGTCATTACTGATTCATTGTATTAGTTCTTATAAGATGGAAGTGTCTGAAGTGAAATGAACAGTCTCCTTTGCTGCTCCCCACACGCATCTCTCCTGGGGTGACCTCTGCCCTCTGTTAACAGTCGGAAGTGTCCTGACACACTCACTCGTATATGCACACACGTTGTTCACTGGCTACATACATATCGTTCTGGCACTTTCTGCTTTATCGGAGAAAAATCCTAAAAGTAGAATTATTGGGGCAAAGGGTATGTGTATTGTCAACTTTAATAACTACGTCTGGATTATGTTACAGAGTTGAAAGGATATACAGACCTCTGCCGACTATGTTGGAACCCTCTATCCAACACCCATGCCAATATCAGTTATTCTTGAAATATTTGTCAGTCCAAGGGTACAGATTATCATTTTAACTTGCATTTCCCCAACTCTAGGGAAGCTGAGTATCTTTTTTCTGTGTTTGTCAATCATTTGCATTCCGACTTCTGTGAATGGGCCGTTCAGATGCTTTGTCATGTTTGCAGGGGGTCTTGGTCTTACTCATTTCAGGGTGCGCTTTACATACGGGCCGTTCTCACGCTTTGGCTCTTCCGTTACAGCCCTGGAGTAGCTCCTGGACCAGCTGTGATCAAACCATCACCTGATCTCAGGGGCTCAGGCCTGACATCTCCCGATGGGGCCTTCCGGGTTTCCTGGCAGTTGTAGACGCCCAAACCCACACGGGCATCTAACACCTGCCCATCTTCTCATGTCGAAGTTCTTGGGTTTGAAGGACCCACATGGGCTGCAGAGCCTCAGTTAGCGCCTCACTGCCCTGGTGCTGCTCCGAAGACAGGCCTGGCCTAGGTGCTTTTCACAGCCCCGCCCACCTTTCTGATTCCCTGAGGGCTCTGCTCCAGAGCGGGGCTCCAGGCCTGGGGAGGGAGCAGCTGGGGGTGTCCTGCCCTGAGCAGGCTCATCTCCCCCAACAGGGCCAAATTCGCTCTCTAACTCCACAGGGAGACGTCCCGGGGGCTGCAGGTGTGAGTGGGGGAGAAGGGAAGTCTCCGGTTCCCCCACTCCACTTTAGCCATCCTTCCTTTCTTTCTTTTCCTTCCTTCCTCCCTCCCTCCCTCCCTCC